CAGGAGAGGTCTGCCACGCCATGTGGTCACCTCCGGGGCAGGCGGGAATCGAACTCATGCGGAAGCGGCTTTTAGATTCTCAGTGCTGTGCTTTAACCCGCTGCGCCACCAGGGAGGGCCATGTCATTTAATTCTTAGCAAAATTTTGATGGTTCTTAAAAAAATTATCAATGAACACTGGTGAATCTGGTTTAAAACTACCATACTCATAAATGACTGGAAACTTAGTAAATTTGTACAGTCTTTTTAAAGAGAAATTAGATAGACTACAATAGTTTTCCTGTTGTCAAGTAGTTCAACATGTGCTGATCAGAAATAAACATTTTAAAAGAAGAAAGTGATTTTGTAAAAATACTTGCAATATTTTTATCTCTATTAGTAAAACATTGTTCTCTAAAGATGAGAGGAAAATATTTAAAAATTGAATTACATTACAGAAAAAATGGCTACAGAAATCAGATATTTGAAGGCTTTTTCCCCTTCTTATGTTAGGTTGATGGGATGATAGAAATTAATATCATTGAAATAAAAACAAGAACAAATAGAGGTCATGTTTTCAAATAAGCTATAATTGAAATTCTAATTGAATTGCAATGTAACTAAATTTGCATGGAAATTTTTTCCTTATGGTTTTCCTCTTGTAGCTTCTGTAAAATTTAGACCCATTTAATAAAAGCTGATATTGCAGAGATATATTTTACTTCTCATGCAAACACGTTCTTACCGGGTAGTATAGAGGCCAAATATTTCACAATTCTTTGTCAGTGTATTGACATTTAGTAGCAATTGTAATTTTATATGAATTTATTTTTACTCCTGGCTTTGGAAATGAACTTAAAAGTATATTTGAATTATGTGAATTCTTCACTAACTGCTAATAAAGCTTAAAGTGCATGTTCTCCACTAAAAGAATTACATTAATAAGAGTGAAGAACTGTGGTAATTTATTAAGTCTAATGCAAGCTTTTGAGACAAAATGAGAACAATGTTGGATTAGGTTCTCTTTTATTTGTTTCCCTTTCCTACTTATAAGCAATTGAGAGAGAAAAAAATTTTTCTCAATATGTAGCAGCAGAATTTTAAAATTTCCACATTAGTGAAATGTGAACTTTTATAGAAGCGTAACTGGAAGTATTAAATCAAATCATCTTATAAAATCTTTTGTCTTTGAGGTACTTGTATGATTTCTTGTACTTTATTTATGAATCTGATGAGTATCTACTAAATACCAGGAATTCTCTGATCATTGAAGTAAAATGAAAACTCCTGCATCATGGATGTATGTTGGATTGGAAAGCAGTTTGGACTCTCACATAATTCACAGACTAGAAATATTTACAGATTAAAAAGTTTTGCCTTTTTATCTAAAGTATTCCCACATAGAGGACTGAATAATATGAAATGATCCCTCTGTATTTAGATGAAAACAGAGTAATGATATTTCAAATAACAGGACCAAAGCCCTAGACAAACACATGAAGAAAGGGCCAGTAAATAGAAAGAAAAGAAAAAAAGTGTCTAATCATATAGTAGATGTAGATAAATAATTATGTGAGTCTATCCATTACAAACTGATTTCAAAGTTACAAAGCTTTGCCATGTATTCCCAATTGCTTTGAACTACAGCTTTTAAATGAATTTAGTTAAATTTTCTTGTTATCTCAGTTTTTAAAAATCATTTATTCACTTGTTTTTGCTTGGCAAGTAAAACTGTCATCTAAATCAAGTAATAGAGTAAATTAAAGAAGAGGAAATGCCAGGAGAGTCCAGATATAAATTACCCAATTTGGTTTCTTATAACAGTCAATTTTCCCAGATAATTGTTTCTTTTACTTTGTCTCTGCCTGAGAAAAGACAATATAAGTCCCATGTTTTCCCTCACTGCTTCCTTCTTCCAAGGTGACCCAATCTTCCAAGGAACAGAGACCTCGATCATATTGACAGGACTTATGTAAAGAAGAATCAGTTTTCAAAATCATACACGTACAAAAATTGTCATTGAAAATGGCAAAATAATTTCTTGGATAATATTTTAAAACATATTGACAGAAGTCAAGTCATAGCCTTATTTGTCAATACCGCTCCCCAGAGTAAACATTTGCATATGAATGTTTTCCTGGACAAGACATAATTTTGGTATCCTGGCTGCCAGAACACTCAGCTAAAACTTTGGCTGTGCTTTCGTCATTCAGCTCTAGAGAAAATAAGAAATGATCAGACAATGCTGGCTTTATGCTAAATTTATCAATGAAACGAATGAAACTGTTTCCAATGAAAAGCCATAAAATATCTTAGGATGGAAAATACTCTTAAAATGTGTTCTTCAGACTGGCAGTAGCAATAGTTTATGAGACTGTATTAGCATTGCAAATTCTTGACCCTCCACCCCAAATGTCAAAACTCTGGGGGTGATACTCATCAGTCTTATTTTTAATCAAGCTTTCTAAATGGTTCTGATGCATCATAAAGAGATATAGGCATAGATTGTGTCATAGAATATAGCTTGTACTTAGGTGATATCTGCGCTGTCACCAATATATGAGAGAAACTGAGGTAAATGATGAGAAAGAAAAGAAATAAAGAGAAAGACATGTACTGGATTGGATTATGTTCATGAGGAATACAGAGAAACAAAGGGGCATATAAAACCAAATCACTCACAAACCTAGATGTCTGCATGTAGCACAGAGGCTACCAGGAGAGGAAGTACTCTGGGTACCTTGGAACTTGTGGTGAGGCCACCTGTGCCGGAGGAGTGTATGATCTATACCTCTATGTCATTGACAGTGTTGTAATCCAGTGTCACCTCAACAGCAAAGTAAATAGAAAAATAAAAATAATAATTTACAAAAGAAGAAACAAAAAGCAGAGTTATGTTTTCCTATGGCTCCTGAATGAGTAGTGAGTATATTTTTCTGAAGTAATAAAACAGATGGCTTGGCAAAAGAAAATCTAGCTCACAAAGCTCTGATAAAAGATAACAGGAAATATTTACTTCAAAATTTGCATAACTATTTGTTTTATCTAAAACCTTTGATAAAAGATTACGGGAAATATTTGCTCCAAATTTTGTAAAACTATTTGTTCTAAGGGAAATTATCATTTTTTTTTTTCCTTAGGGCTAATCAGTTGTTTTCTGTCAGAGGAAATTTTTTTTTTTTAGGCAAATGAGAAAACTCTCTCAAAAACTCACCTATAAATTAAAATATGTATTTACAGATAGAAAGATTTATGAATAGTTTCCATGTAAATCTGCCTTTTAATGTTAAAATTAAAACTATGTGCAGATATAATGCATTGCTATATATGTAAATTTAATCATAGTTATGCCATTGCTAAGATAGTATTTTAATTAGAACTTTCAATTTGAGACATAATGCCTAGACACTTAATGTGTAAGTCATGCATTTTTCTATGTATCTTATAGAAATATGGAAGAGTGGGAAAATTTTCCCAACCATCAAGAGGACATTGATAGCTGTTCAGATTCTGTGAAATTTGATGCTCACACAATGACAGCTTTGATTCCTCTGAGTAAGTAGACTAAGGGTGGGGTACCCTGAGACTGTCTTTAGAATTATTGGCATCATTTGAAATTATAGTCTTGAGACTTATCTTAAATGTGTATGTATGTTAAAACAACATTGGATGAATAGCCTTTTCTCCTGAGACAGAATAAAAATTAACTGAAGTAACAAAACATTGCTTATTCTATAATTCCTCTGACTAAGTCCTGGAGATGGCTATGGCCCTAGCACCATGAATTAATCCTTGAAAAACATGGGTATTAGGGGTCTCCCTGGTGGCACAACAGGTTAAAGAACTGTGTTATGAAGCTCTCCAAAGCCACTGCAGCCCAAGTTCGATCCCCGGCCAGGGAGCTGACACACATAGTGCAGCAGACCTCTCCTGAACTTCTGCTGCTCCCCTCAGTAGCATACTTTGTCAATCTGCCTGTGCTGTTCCACACTCTGTCTCTGGTCAATCCTCTCACCCACCTCACCGCTGGCCTGTACCCCAGTTCTATAAGGATAAATAAATCAATCTTAAAAAAAAAAGGATACTAAGTGCTTATTTTTGTTCCCTAGGACTACTGTAACAAATTAACACAAAAAGGGTGGCTTAAGACAGCTTATTATTAATACCTTATTTCTCAAGGTCAGAAGTCAAAATAAAAGTGATAACAAAGCTATACTAACTTTGAATGTTCTAGAGAGTAATATTTCCTTGCCTCTTCCTAGCTTCTAATGGGATACTAGAATACTAGTGACACAGTGTTTCTTGACATGGCAACTTCATCATTCTAATATCTTCCTCTCTTGCTTCACATGATAGTGCTGTCTTTAAACATCCTCTTCTCTTCTTCAAGGGGCACTAATCATTGGATTAGGATCTCCCTTAATCTAGTATGATTTCATCTTAAATTGACTACTCCTATAACATTATTTCTGGGTAAGGTCACATTCAATGATACCTGGAATGAAGACTTCAACAAAGTCTCTTTGTGAGGCACAGTTCAAACTCTTGCAGAACTGAAAAGGATGCCCCTACAGTTTAAAACAAAAGCTCAAAAGAAACAGTGTTTGGCTGTATCCGTGCAAATTTGTTTAAAACAGGAGGACAGAGGTCTTAGCGTTGTACTAAGCCTAAAACACATTTCATCAAGGGAAGGGGATAGTGTTGCTGAGAAACCAGAGAGACACTTCAGTAGAAGCAGCAGCAAATGCAAAATAGCAGGACTATATGTGAGTTCTGACCTAGACAAGCTTAGAATACAGATTGCACCTTCAATGTATGATGACTCTCTCGTGCTGTGTAAACAAAAAAGGCGAGAATATGAAGCTAAAGGAGAAAAGATAATAGTAATAGCTATCAAAGGTAGAGATGTTGAGAATTTTTGGACGGGAGATGGAGGAATTAGGAATAAAACAAAGGTAACAGACTTTTGGAGAATGATTTAAAGGGTAGAATATAAATTATTATTATTTTTTAAAGATTTACTTATTTGTACATACGGAACTGGGGTACAGGCCAGAGGCTCAGGGGCGGTGAGAGGCTTCACCAGAGAAAGAGTGGGGAGCAGAACAGGCAGATCGACAAAGCACACTGCTGAGGGGAGCAGAGGGCGGGTCAGGAGAGGTCTGCCTCGCCACGTGGTCACCTCCAGGGAAGGCGGGAATCGAACTCATGCGGAAGTGGCTTTAGCTTCTCAGTGCAGGGCTTTAACCCGCTGCGCCACCAGGGAGGGCCGTGGGTAGAATATAAATTATTTTTAAGAATTTTCTCTTTCATTTCCTCATAGAACTTTGCTGAACAATGTCTAAATTTGGGGTTTAAATTTAAGAGTTTATAACCTGTAAACAAAATTTATTTCTTGTTGAACATTAAAAACAATGATCATAGGAGAAAAAAAATTTAGTGGACAAAATTTAGTGGACAAAATAGGAAGCCCAGAGGGTGGGCTTCATCATCCATTCCAAAGTTTAATCAGTGTGTGAATAACTCTGTTTGTCATTTCATTTTTGCATTGTTTTAAAGTATAAAATGTATCTGAAAATAAAATTAAGGTAGAATTGAAAAGAAATTTATTGTGTACACTTAAAAGTAAATTTTCCTCTTGCCTGACATAAAATCTGAAAACAGTTCAGAGTGAATAGTAACCTGATGCATTTTATCTTCACTCATAATACACTTCCATATGAAATAGGGATAAAATATCACTTTGCATATGTTGATATTAATGTGAAAGTTCACAACAAATGCCTCAAAATGAGACCAGGACAACTTGTACAGGAGACTGCCATTTTCATGTGTGTTTAGTTAATAGATACATAAATCAGACATCCACAGTGATATATGTCTTGACTTTTCCTGTCACTATTTCTTTTACTTCACACTCAAAAAATGAAGACCCATTTTTCTTTGCTTTCAGTAAGCTTGGTAGGAACAAGATCATTGCTTCTTGTATTGTTAGGCATCATTTTTCTTCCAACAGGGTTGAATGTGACAATATGGACTGGGGAGTATTAAAAACCTAAAAAGTAGAAAAGTCAGTTTTCTAAATGCATCTTGTGTTTTTGTTTTTTAGGTCCTAAAAATGGTCCTTCCCTTCAGGAGAAACTCAAGTCCATCAAAGCTGCACTGATTGCCCTTTATCTGCTTGTGTTTGCAGTTCTCATACCTGTTATTGGTATCGTGGCAGGTACACTCTTCAAGATTTCTGAAACTAATCAACTCACCCCAGGAGCTAATTATTGTAGAACTAAAAAGAAGCATTCTGGATTTTTTATTTAGGAGCTCCAAAGGAAAACATATCACACACTGTTTCTCAGATTTATTGATTGATGTATCTATTTATTTATTTTCATTGAACAATTGGGGTGTAAGCCAGCAGTGTGGGGGGGGGCGGGTGAGAGGATTCACCAGAGATAAGCAGGGAACAGAACACACACATTTACTGAAATCCACTGCTAAGGGGGAACTGCAGGAGAGGTCTGCTGCACCATGTGTGTTAACTCCCTGCCCAGAACTCAGGCAGTAGTGGGGTTAGCACTGAGACTTTACCCCAAAGTCACAAGGGGGACCCAAATATACTCTTAAACAAACTGTGGTCAACCCCAGAACACCCAACTTCTTCTAATGGTCAATGCAGAATAAGGACAGAAATCTAAAATAATTCATGTGGAATATAAAATAACTAATATAAGAGTTAGGTAAAGAAAAGCTTAAAAATTAACCTTGATAGCTAATTACAGAACTAAAATCTCAAGAAGGGGGGATCATGGGGGAGAAGTTGGAATAAAAAGGGAAGAAAGTGCAAATGGATGGACTATGGTGGTGGACTGTGAATGGCAATAGCTGATGACGGCATCCAAATATTAGCTCAATTAAAATAAATTAATTAAATAAGGGATTCAGCTTTATAGCCATGTTCAAAGTCTCTGAGCTATGAGAGAACACTACCAAATCAATATACTTATTCTAGCATTGAAAATGACTGAAGTTATTTTGTTTCCTAAACCTATAACATGTAGCCAGTAACACTGACAAGAAGCTAAAAATGTTCAGTTCTCATAAATTCACATTAGCACCAATTTACCAGAATTTAGAACAGATTTCAATGTTCCTGTCATACCTGAAAAATAAGAAATGGACAGTCCACTTACAAATTTAATTAAGTTGTAGAACAGAATATTTTTCCAAATGGAAGTAAAATTCAATACATATCTTTACTTGTATTAGAAATTATATATATATGTATATAAAATTTATCCCCAAATTGATTAAAATTTATTTTTTGCACTGATGGATGAAAGAATAAGCTCTATATAAAAACTCTTTTACTTTTAATGTTTTTTACTTTGAAAGATATTTTATTAATTATAAAATTTACTCCATATGCAACTTTTTCTTAGAGTCTCTGTTATAACAATATAATAATATCTCTAGATATTATGTGAATGATTCAAAATGTGGTTGCATATTTGATTAAGTATGTATCTTTAAAAAGAATTTAATGGGAACATAAAAGAGTTCTTTCTTAGAATTAAATTACATAATATCTTAATACTTTGTTATATATATAATTTGCAATAGCAACCATAATTAATAAATTTCTTTAAATAGGGCTGTGAAACAATGTTCTCTAGGATTAAAATTATATTTTTAAAAATATTTATTTATTGACTGATACTGAACTGGGATACTGAACCCAGAGGTACAGGGGCAGTGAGAGGCTTCACCAGAAACAGAGTGGGGAGCAGAACAGGCAGATAGATGAACTACACTGCTGAGGGGAGCAGCGGGCAGGTCAGGAGGGGTCTGCTCTGCCATGTGGGTCACCTCCAGGGCAGGGGATTGAACTTGTACTGAAGCAGCTGTGGCCAGCTTGCAGTGCTGCGTCCAAAAGGTTGTGCCACCAGGGAGGACCAAGATAATATTTTTAATGAGAAATATATAAGGTACCTTAATTTGTTTCTTATAATGTGCCGTGGTCAATATTTCTTTATTCAGAACTGAATGGTAATAATGCACACTTGAAACTTGTATATTATAGTGCATTGTAATTTCAAAGCATTTATTTAAGAAAATGAAATTTGTGGGGTTAAAATACATATCCACACAATGAGGTGCTTTTAACATCTTTGCCACAATTCAACATAAGCAATAGCATTATGCATACCCAGTAAAGATATATAGATATGCACATAGATACTGGTAGTTCTGTTCTATTTTATTTCATTTAATGTTGTAAGGATGTTTAGTTTTGTATTTTATTGTGATATCATTGGTTTACAAAGTGTTACATGATTTAGAAGTACAGGATCCCACTTCAGGTGTTGTTACCACACCTCATGGTTGAGGGCCCTGAAAGTCGGCCCTCAACCATAGTCCATTGTGACCCCTCCTCACTTTACCCTTCCTCTTCTTCTTCTCCTTCTGGTATTGTAAAATTTATAGTCCAGGTTCTAGGATGTGCTAACAGTTTTATTTTATCTGGTCTTTGGTTTGCTGTATTCCACATATAATTGACAATACCTAGTATTTGTCTTTCTCCTCACAGCATTTCACTTAGTATTACTTCTTCTAGTTCTATCCATGTTGTTGCAAAAGTCAATAATTTTTATCAGTTTTATAGCTTAGTGGTATGCTATTTTGTGCATATACCACATCTTAGTCTGCTTATCTGTCCTTGGTCACTTAGTTTGTTTCCACAGCTTGTCTATGTAAATAGTGCTTCATTGTTAATATTCCTGCTTATTAGTCTTTTTGCATTGTTCAGATAGATACTTAGGAAATGAGTTGATAAATCAGATGTAGATTTTCCCTTTCTGGAATACACATCATTATCTTATATCATTTCTTCATAGGGTCAGATAATTCTTGAGGTGTTTCTTCATGCTTTTTTCTTTGCATTACTCATTCTTATTCTACCTGGATCTTTTGTGCATTACCATCTTGAGGTAACTGATCTAATTTTCCGTTTGTTCTCTTCTACTTCCATAGCTTTCTCCAGAGTTGTTTAATCTTCTTTAATGATCATTTTACATTGTGCATTTCCATTATCTTCTTATTTAAAAATTCAGTTTCAATATTCTTTTCATTACTTTTGTTTCTCAAAATTTTGTTTTTCTGAGTTTTCATATCTTTTATCCATTTTCTTCCATTCCTTCGAATAGTAACTGAACTCTATCTGATAGGAAGGCAAGATCTCTCATATCTCTGTGGTTGGATTCTGGAGATTTGTTCTTTCTGTGCTGAAATATTCTCTTGAGGACTCCAGACGGCATGTGTTGTGCTTTCCATTTTACCATTTTATTGCTATGTAAGCTGCCACCTATTTTTTGAGTTGGCATAGTGTCCTCAAGGTGAAGATCTTCCACTTCTCTAGGAAACGCAAGTCATGTTGGGGAAAACTGATCTGCAACTGTTGAATTAAGCCTTGGAGTGAGTGATGTGAAAGTGTCTACACTGGAAATTAGTATGCATGGGCAGTCTGCAGTTGTGGCACCCTTCAAAGCCCTCCTCTATGGGTTTTCAGACCTGTGTCTGCACCTGGTGCCATGTTCTCAGTGCTGCTTTACCGGATCTTTCTGAGTCCCAAAGCAGTGTGGACAGACAGAGCTATCTCATATGCTGTATTTTTCACTGCAGACCCTGCTTACCTGGCTGTGGTCTACATAGCCTCTCTTTACCTGTCTCTTGTTTGTAGAGTTGAATTTCCTCAGTGTGCCTTCTGTCCCCTTCAGGATGGGATGGGTCTCCAATATGCAGGAGATTTTCCAGTTTCATCCCAAGTCACGGGATCATTGAGGTCAGTGCTTCTCTGAGCAACCTTAGATTGTTTCATGAGGTCAGTGCTTCTCTGAACAACCTTAAACTATCCTCTGGGGAGCGAAGCAGGGAACTTCCCTGAAATTTTTGCATTTTAATTTTAGTCCTTTTTCCTTGTACCCTGTTTATGCTATGTGAGTCATGTGCCTTATCTCACTTCTCCTCAGCACCATTATGTTGAAATGGTTATTAGGAGTCGATCTTTATATTCTGGTAGCTGGATACTTTAACACCAAGTTCTCATTTATACAACTAATCTGAGCTACGAGGAACTAAATGTTTTCTTGTTATCACATTTAATTATGAAAAACATAGAAACCAGTACTCTGGCCATATCAATTTTATTAATGAACAGACAGGTTTTTTTTTTAAAGATTTATTTATTTATTTATTCATATGGAACTGGGGTACAGGCCAGAGATGTGGAGGGTGAGAGGATTCACCAGAGACAGAAAGGGGAACAGAACAGGCAGATTGACAAAGTACACCGCTGAGGGGAGAAGCGGGCGGGTCAGGAGAGGTCTGCCTCTCCATGTGGATCTCCTCCGGGGCAGGTGGGAATGGAACTCATGCGGAAGTGGCTTTAGCTTTTTAGTGCTGTGCTTTAACCTGCTGCGCCACCAGGGAGGGCCTCTGACATAGTTTTTAACATGTATGTGTATATGTGTGTGTGTCTTGTGTGTGTATATATATATGAATAGTAGCAATAGACAAAGAAATAGAGAAAGCAATATAGTCAAATCTTAACGTTTATTAACTAATCATAAAAATGTTTATTGCCTATAATTATGTATTTTATTTTTATCTGCAAAATTAATGTTTATTTTTTTATTTTTGAAACTATAAACATACTACTTTAGATACATTCAAATAATTAGTTTGTTACAGACATTTGCCCATTTGGAGATACATACTAACACCCCAAAATACCATTTACTAGATATATTTTTACTTAGGAAACAGCCACAGTTTGTTCATCAAAACATTTACTACATTAGTGTAAACAGAAGCAAGCTTAGAGGTTAGATTTTGTTAAATAAAACTGGTAAGTCACAGAATTAAAAAAAAAAAATTAGGTCATTTTCTCTAACATCAGGCCTGAGAAGTGAGATACAATATACTTCAGACTCTATAATTTTCTATATTGTCAGTCAACTGCATTAGCCAAAAGATTCATATCAGCAGCAACTCAGAAAAAATTGACAATCCTGTAATAATTCTTATGAAAAGTAGATAAAGAATACTGTTTCACTCTCAGCAAAGTATCTATTATCATACAGATAATTTATATTATCATACAGATAATTTATATGAAAAAATACAAATAAATCTCTTTTGAAATAGTATTCAGAATGTAAGAGTGGATTGGAATATAGTAATACAAAAGGAAATGGTGTGGGATGGAATAGTGCATGCCTTTAGATGTAAGTTGTGACTGTTTATTTTTACTTAAATATGCAGCTCAATTCCTGCCTTGGGAAGTGAAGAATTGTTCGGCTGTTTTAAAGAATGTGAATGACACAGGAATAGGAAACAATTATGACCATGAAATGAGATTTCAAGAAGTTGTTGCAGAGCAAATGAACAACATGGAAAAGAAAATCCAGTATATTTCAGAATCAGAATCGGATCTCATAAAATCAGAGAATTTCCAAAATTTCAGCATGATGAATGACCAAAAGTTTAATGACCTTTTCTTCCAGCTAAGTACCTTGGCTTCCACAGTACAGGGACATGGAAGCACAATAGATGAGATATCTAAATCATTAATAAGTCTGAATACCACATTAGTTGATTTGCAACTCAATGTTGAAACACTGAATACCAAAATCCAAGAGAATTCATTTAAACAAGGAGAGGTAAGACGTTTTGTAGAGAATGGTTACCTGCTGTGTTTGAATCTGTTTAGACCTTATCTTCTTAGGTAGGCCAGAAAAACAAAAGTTAGGAACATTCTGTCAAGGTCACCTATTTATGTTGATTCAGCTAACAGTCTCATGAGAGGATTTGAAGTAAATTTAACAAATGCATGCATTCTCTAGATTCTCAGCTAAGGAGGGATTTTTTTTAAATGGATATTGACTCTTTTAAGGAATTTTAATTTTATAATTCTTGTTAGATATTTCTTTAAACTGTCTACACCATTCAATTTTATATCACCATAAGAAATCATGAGAGATTTATAAATTTTATCTGCATTTGTAAATTTTACAACAGATCAGGAAATCTTATTTACATGGATAACCTAAAAATCAACATTTGTATACAGTTTATTTTGCCACTCCCAAGATTTATCTAAAAGTCTTTATGTGTAAATATAATTATAAACAACTTTTTATTATAAGGATAGGATCAAATACACAAGACAAGAAAATATGACATACTTTAGAACAGTTTTTGACAAACGTTTCTTTTTTAAGGGCCAGGTAAACAGTTCAGTCTTTAAGGACCACATGGTCTTTGTTACAGCAACTCAACTCTGTCACTATTGTGCAAAAGCAGCCATAGAAAATATATAGACAAATATGTAAGAGTATGATATAATTCGTTTTTATTTTCAAAAACAGTCTTTAGCCCATTGCTCATTATTTTGTCACTTCAACTCTAAACTATCCTGATGCCAGCCCTTTATGTTTATATTTATGAGTTATTTATTTGAAAGATTATAATAAATATTGGGTAATTACAATTTTTTACTCTCAGGGAAAAATTAACAACTCAAATTTCACTACTTAAGTGAAAAGCTAATTTTTATATTACAAGATATCTAAGGCTTAAACTCATAATTAAAGTCTACAAAATTAACTTTACTAGCTAACCAATGATTGAATTGTTGTAGTAGGTATTACTTAAATAGACCCATTCTTAATTGATGGGTTTATTTTCTGTATATATACCCTATTATACAGTAGAACCTTTTAAAAATGAATGTCACATAAAAAGATATGTTTAGAGACATAAGAAGATATGTCTCTAGAGTTAAAACATCAAGTGAAAGTCAACTAAAATATTCACTAGAGAGGAGACTAGCCAGGTTGAAAATTAATATACATATTTACTATTTATATAAAGTGCCATCACTCAGAACTTTTACATTTTCACATGGTTCTTATCTTAAAATACTACAAGGCAATGACATTGATATTTAAATATGGAAATTCTGCTGAGCTTCAAAGACAATGTCAGCCTTGATATTCTATGTCTATTTTATAGTACATCTTGCAAAATCTGAATGCCAGTGTTTCCCATATGGTTAATAAATATCTAAGCATTGAAAATACTATGTAAATATCAAATATGAAAAGGTTAAAGAAAATGTAAAAGGAAAAAACTATCCATTGAGTTGAAGAATATAGGAGACAAAGGTAAATAAAAGATCAGTTTTAGAAGTAGTAACTGATTCAGTTGAAGGGAAAGAAAAAGAGAGAACAAATATCACTTGAAACAGAAGAATAGTGAAATGAGGTGAGGGAAAAGATTAGCAAGGTGGAAGAACACATATATTTTGACATATGTATAACTGATAATAGAAACAGCTCTCATATATTCAAATAATTTTGTGGGGAGGAGGAGAGGTATGTGAAAATTCAGCCATTCAGTCAAAAAGGAAATGCTTAAAAATTAAAGAGTTACTACTAAAGAATGCTTTAATTTCCATGTTTGTATTCAATTATGTTTCTATAATATCTTAAAAAAAAAAAAAGCAAAAACCTGACTTCCAGAGCTTCTTAAAGTTAAATATTTGAGAATTACATGGTAACAGAATTGTGATACTTGTATTTCACAGGAGATAAAAAAGTTAGAGGAGCATGTGTACAATGCATCAGCAGAAATTATGTCTGTGAAAGAAAAACAAGTATATTTGGAACAGGAAATAAAAGGAGAAGTAAAACTACTGAATAACATCACTAATGATCTCAGACTGAAAGATTGGGAACATTCTCAGACATTGAAAAATATCAGCTTAATTCAAGGTAAAATATCTTCTCAAATTCCTCCAGAAAATAATATACTATAATACTGTGATAGATAGGATTTGGGTATTCAAAAATCATATGATTTAAAATAGTTCTGGAGAATGCATTTATTTTAAATATTGAAAGGAAGGGATTTTTAGATCATCACAAGACATGGTAACAGTATCCTGGTATCTATAAATAAAAGGGACAGAAATTTAAAATTCTCTAAAGATCTAATGAGTAATTGTTCCAAACATTCCATATGTACTTAAGAAGGATATGAGTTTTCTATAAGTCACCACATTTTCCACCTCTTTGTAAATCAAGCTTGTTAATTCTATTTTTCTTTTTAAAAATCCAGTCTTTCTTACTTCTTACCTGCTTTATCAAGTAGAAATATCTTTTGAATACTCCAAAGTACAGTGAATTTGTTCATTTTTCTTTACTTTCTGGTAGTAAAATGATTGAATTTTACTTGCTATTTTTTAAATAAATATATACTTGTATATTTTTATACTACCTTTTAGTTATTATTTACATCTTAAATATTTTGAACAGTTTTTAATTGTGGAATCTGAATATCTCTTTTCACTGTATTTTTTCTGTCTTATTTTGTACTATTTTTTGTTTAGTCCTATTTCCTTGTTTTCTCTTCTTGTCTACTTATAAATTAAGATATTTACTCTTTTAGTCTATCCCCTTACCAACTATACTAAAAACATCTTCAGCTTCATACCGAAATATATAAGGGACTTAAAATGCTTTGCTGATAACCACTTTTCCTGGTTTCCTGTTGTTTCTAAGTACAGTTCATTCAGTTTTATAATTTTTGACATTATCATTTTTCTTATATTATACAGATAACATTTATTTGGATTTGTCCATGAGTTTATGAATTCCTCCCCATTCTAAATACATCTTAGACATATTTCTGGGATACTTTTCTTCATCCTGAAGTATATATTAATAATTTGGAAACTTGTTAGAGGAAGTCTGTTGGTAATGAGAACTCCTGATTTCATTTTCTTTGTTTTGCCCTTGATCTTTAAAATTGTATTACCACATACACATTTCTCAAGTTGATAGCTAGTTTTGCTATTTCTATCAGTATTTTGGCAATATAATTTCCTAACTTTGGCTTCACTTATTGTGTTAAAAATGACCTCTTCCAATGTGCAGGTTCTTCCTTGTCTTTAATACCAGTGATTTAACTAACCTTTTAATATTGATGTTTTATCCCTTTAGCAATTGCTTTAATTCCTATAGTCATAGATTTAAATCTGTCATCAGTTCTGGAGCATTATCAATTCTACTTTACTGGAATGTCTTTTCTCACAATTCCCTATTATTTCTTATGTAACTCAAAATAAATTTGTGTTAGATCTTCATTTTCTACTATTCATATCTGTTAAGTTTTGTTTTATAATTTTAGCACAAAATTGTTTTTTTCTCATTTTCTTTTTTACATTCATTTAAAGTTCATTTATTCACTGTATTTGTTTTAGGAGTATGGGCTCAAAAATCTATAAAAATTTGTTTACACATAACAAAAATAAAATTTTAAAATTTTATCTTATTAGTAAGAAAAACAATAATAATAATCTACCAGTTGCATCTTGGAGTAAGTTGCTACTTACTCCAAGCCTTTGAAAACTATCTTTGATTTCTCTCTTTATATCAATTCTACATGAGTCCTGGTTATCTTTTTAATATAATTTTTTTTTTACTATCTCCTCTACTACCATCATAGTTGAAACAATCTTGTGAGTGACCTCAATTAGTTTCCCTGATTTTATTTTGAATCCCTTTGGAAAGAACAAGAGTACTATAAAATATCTATTTTCTCTTATGCTTGAGATACTCTAGCGTTTTCCCATTGGATTTGAAATAAAATCTGAATTACTTGGTCTGCCACTCAACTACGTAATCTTCCCTTATTTTCTGATCTCCCCTCCTGCATTCCCTCTGTCTGGCTTGGAATCCCAAAGCATGGTATACTGCTAAAAAGTGTAAGTCAGTAGGAGGAAGTATTAGTTTCAGTTCCTGCTGTTCATTTCCTTCTCTCTCTAAAAATATTTTTCTTTTAGATATCTGCTCCTCATTGACTCCACTCAAAGTCATCTTTTAGATAATTTCCTCCCACTTCTTATACTACTCTTCCATCTTTATCATTATTTACTTTAATATCCTCATCACACACTACACCCTGACATTGTTTATATCCACAATTGCTTATTATTTCATGTTCTTATGATTTGTAGTCTGTAATAGAATGTGAGCTCCTTGAAGATGGACCTTGTCTCTCTTATCTCTCTTTCTCTACCCAACATCTGTAAGACTACCTAGAATATAGCTGGTAACAAATCACGTATGTGGTCAATGGGTAGTAAAACTACAACTTCCTTCTTCTTTTTTTTAAAGATTTATTTATTTATACATACAGAACTGGGGTACAGGCCAGAGGTGCAGGGGTGGTGAGAGGATTCACCAGAGACAGAGTGGGGAGCAGAACAGGCAGATCAGTGAAGTGCACTGCTGAGGGGAGCAGCAGGCAGGTCAGGAGAGGTCTGCTGCCATGTGGATCGCCTCTGGGGCTGGGGATCCCACTCACACTGAAGTGCCACCAAGGAGGGCCTAGCACTTCCTTCTTACTAAGTTGCTATTTGTAATAGAATTACTATTTTTACAGGTTTGTTTTTGCTATTTCTCTTAGAAACTTTAGTTCTTTTCTTTTTGTATTGTTTGTCCTCTTGATACCTTTCAATATTCTTGTGCAAACTATTCTTATCACTGCCCTGCCAGATGATTTGAGTAGCTTCTCAATCATTTCCTGTCTCCATCTTTCTGATTATAATGCTTCCTACACTCTTTGTGAATGCAGCTGTCCTAAAGGGAAAACCTAGATTCTAAAATTCTCTCTGTTACTTTCTCACATGGCATATATTGTTCTCTGTAGCACTCAAGGTCTTCCATAATGTTTCTTAACTATACTTGAATGTCTCATTTCCTTTTTTTCCCATTTTGATGTCAAATATTTGACTGATGTTTCTGTTTTTCTAACATGCCCAGTCCTTTTTATATTGTGTCTTTTGCGTCACTGAAACAGCTACCACCTTCTGTTTGTATCTGAAAATGTTTTATCTATTATCATATTAATTGAACATTTAACCTCTTACATAGAACCTTCTCTGCTCCATCAGTCATACTCCTGCTGATATTTATGCTTTGCTCACTATGAAACATTAAGTATTCTTTCACAAAAGAATCCTTATACTACATATCATCATCTAGTAAAATGTTATTTCTCCTTGGGAACATTTCCTTAAAATTAGTGAATATTTTATATAGTATCTATAGTATCTGGTCATAAAATAAGTTTTTGATAAATATTTATTAAACTATAACCCAAAGACAAATTGTATAAACTGATATTTTTTCATTTGTCAGTATTAAGATTAGAAAAAAAAAAACTACCTGGGTTTATTTTTCCAGTAAACTGGGTAATTATAATTTATGATATCTATGATTTCTGAATATTTTAATCAGCATATTTTTTGTAGATATATAGAAATATTGACTTTCCTTTCATTAATTTATTCATAGAGAGGGAGCCAAGTTATAGATTTTATATGTATGTTTTAGAGAGGAAATTATTGATGACAAATTAGTGCTAGAGCATTTACCAATGATTCCTGTAACTTTACAGTTAAAAGTTATTAAAGATGAAGAAAAATAGTGTGAGTTTTATGGCTGCTTGAATTAGAGCTGACATATAGTATTCTGTCCATTTATTGAGGCACAAACATGGTTTTTGATGTGATTATGGAACAGGATTTTGAAAAGTATAATAGTAACTCAGAACAAAGATGGTAACTGCAATAGACTCCTAAGTTCTTTATTTTCCCCAATATATGCCAGAGTAGATGGCCACATTTCTTTGTAGTTGGATATCATATGCATACACATACATGTGTATTACATGAGCTCTATCACCTATAAGTAAATGTGTCTACCTATATATCCAGGCACAGAAGTAAATATGAAAATATGAAGGTAGAACAGATAAAATATTAAAAAAAGCTCCAGAATAGTCCAGTTTCAGAATGATGAGGATATGAGCTACAGCAGAAGACCATTTTTGAAAGATTGATCACGTTTGGAAGGTATCAACAGTATGTTGATAATGTGACAAAATTTTTTACATATCAAGTTGAGATTATTATATCGTTTGTGTAATTCTATCACCCCCAAATATCAAAAGACACTGAAAATGTTTACTGCAATACTCTCCACAGGTTGTTCTAGTCAATAGAAGAGATAATATAGTGTATAATATATAAAAATGAAAATAGGTAAGATAAATGTTGCATGGAGTAAATCAGCAATACAAATGTAACATACTTAGAATTCTTTACAGAAAATACTTTTTTGTTTGTTTGTTTTCTTATTTGGATTTGAATACCTGGCATCACTATTTTTTTTTTTTTTTAAAGATTTATTTATTCATTCATACAGAACTGGGGTACAGGCCAGAGATGCGGAGGGTGAGAGAGTTCACCAGAGACAGAGTGGGGAGCAGAACAGGCAGATCGACGAAGCACACTGCTGAGGGGAGCAGCGGGCGGGTCAGGAGAGGTCTGCCGCGCCATGTGGTCACCTCCGGGGCAGGCGGGGATCGAACTCATGCGGAAGCGGCTTTAGATTCTCAGTGCAGTGCTTTAACCCGCTGCGCCACCAGGGAGGGCCCTGGCATCACTATTTTTATAAAAAACTAGAGATTCTTTAATTCGCAGGTTCATAGATAATAAGAAGTATTTGTTATAGTTGAAATAGTAATTGAACATTAGAGCTATATATAGCTACTATATATAGATACATCCAAATAACTAAAAGGATCCAAACTGCTTATGAAGAGTCCCACTTTTTACTTATAAAAAAATAATGAAAACTCAGTCTCAAGAGCCTTGATCTAATCTGTAAGTCCCTTGTTTCCTGCCTCACACATTTCAGTTTTTCTTAGAAAATCTGTCTTACTTTAGAGGCTTAATTACTAAATCAAAGTCTTTGCTTGTGCACTTTTTTTTCCTTCAAAACACCATCCTTGAGTATTGTGAATTTGCTTCCCTTCAATTTACTCAGCAAAATTCAGGCTGCAAATTGAATCTTTCTGTCCTGCTTGCCCCTCCTTCATCACTGTGTAGAGATGAATGAACTGCAGCTGTGTTCGTGGTGTAGAAGATAAACATCCTTTGTTGGTAAGAACTGCATTCAGTTTGAAAAAAGAGATGCATACAAATTTCCATTGATGAGGAACCATGACATTTCTTGTGCAACACCTAAATGTATATCTGCAGTGTTATGCAACAGCTTAAACTTTGCTAGTTAGTTCCTTAATGCCTACTAGTGAATAGTTTCCAAATTGTTTTGTAAAAATATGTTTAGTCAAAAAATTTGCACGCGCAAGAATGAAATATTGTTATATCATAAATGTAAATGTTATGCATTTTTCTTTCCTCATATTTTTTCTAGGTTTTATTTTTTTCAATAAAAGAGTTGTTTTTGTAATGAAAATGTAATAAAACATTATGCCCAGAGTGGCATGTGAAGAGAAAGGAACTATGTGTCATTGGAAAAAGCAATGACATCTTGAAAATTTTAGTACATAGGGAAGGAAGGTCCTATAACCCAACTCAGACCTTGCAAAATGGAATGTATCAGGAAATGGACAAAAGGAGGGACAAAGAATTCAAAAGAAGCAGAGAAAATAAACAGGATTAATTTATTCATGAAATGACATTTCTACTTATATGGTCTCATCTTAGACTCACTCATATATTAATCTCCTCACCTTACTGAAATTTGTAAACCAGTGTTCTTTAGCCGGTGATGCTAAATATAATTGAATATTGTCTTTGGGTTATGTTTGTGACTGAAGCACAAAATTTGAAAACACCTCTTTTAAACCATGATTACTTGATTATTTTATGGTATATCCAGAATTGTTTCTTTCTTTAGATTTAAAAACAAATGTTTAGTCTTCTGCTTTAAATGAAAGTAATTAAATGAAGTATCAGATTGTTCTGTATACTCCATATGAAAGTGGGAACACTACTTAAAACTACCTGTAAATTCTAAAGACACATTTAAATTATAATCATTCTAAAGAGGTGGTCACTTCTCTAGGCATAAATCATTAATCAGTACTCAGGGGACACCTGGGAACACGTGAAGGCAAGTAGTCAAAAATGTTCTTGGAAGCTTTCTGATTTATTTTATAATATCTACATTGGACCTTCCTGGTGGTACAGAGGGATAAGTCTCAGCATTATCAAACTACCACCAGCCACTGCAGCACAAGTTTGATCTCCAGCCAGGGAGCTAACCCACACGGCTCAGCAGACCTCGCCAGTCTTGTCTGTTACTCTCTCCAGCAGTGTATTTTAGTCAATCCACCTGTTCTTCCACTCTGTGGTGAATCCTCTCACCCCACCCACCTCTGGCCTACACCTCAGCTCTTGTATGCATAAGTAAATAAAAGAAATCCTAGAAATATCTACATATACAAAAAAATTATACTTAATATTTTACTTCAAAATGTACTCCTTTATTTATTTTTTCCTTCCTACATTCATTTTTTTTTTCATATCTCTTCCATTTACTCAGAATTCTTGTTTTTCTCATTTGACCCATTCTTCAAAGTATTCTTCACATCCTAATCAATAATAATTTTTGAACAATGACTACTCATGTTCATCTTCACCATTCTAACAAATATCTGAATTTATGGTTGTTTCCACCATGTGGCTTTTGTTTGTCTGTTATATATGGTTTTTGTTTTCCTGGATGCTATTACACATGAGTTTCAGGTCCCTAATTATATGTTTTCCACACAGAATATTTCCACACTATATTCCAACAGAATATTATGAAATTTGCCTAGTAATACTGTACACAACACTAGATTTGTTCTATCAATGTCTCAATCTTTTCTATGCTCCTAGGTTCTGAAAACCTGCAAAAGTGCTAAGCACATATAAGTTCTTAATACCTAATTAGGCTGTCTAATTTAGAATCACCTCATCCTTATCAATATGGATGTTATATTATTCAATAGTAGAATATGGCTCCATTCAGGAATGTCCATCATATTCATTTTGTTATTGTACAACAGATGAAAGACTTTGTATTTACTTATAAAAAACTGTCTTAACACATGACATCTATTTATCTATGCTTTTAAGCTCTGATCATTTTACAGGGGAGGAGAGGAAAACAAGATCAAAATGGGGGTAGGAAGAGCGCATGGGACTATTGTGATGGCACATAGGTGAAATGGTCGTGGGAAGTCCTGTAGTCCTCAGGATTACAACTGAGATGGAAAAATGTACAAAATGAAGAATAAAGTAAAAAGTATATAAAACAACAAAAACTATGATCAGTAATTGTAATTCATTTTTTAAAGGTCCGCCTGGCCCCCCGGGTGAAAAAGGAGATCGGGGTCCCATGGGACCAGCTGGTGGCCGAGGCCTTCCAGGAGTAATTGGTATGGTAACAGTAACTACTTTAGTATATACTACAGGGTTAGGCAATGTACCTCTATCTATGTGTGTAGGGGAAAAAGCTATATGATGTATTCACTGTGATCATGTATGTGTTTGGGGGATATTAAGTGTATTAGTAGCCTAAGGAATGTAATATTCGAAATGAAGAACACTGGCTCCTGATTTTTGAAGGAAGTTTCATGTTTTAGCTGGAACCATTACCTGGGGGAATTCTTTAGCTTAGGGTTTCCTATCTGTATAATTGACTACAAACAGTATGTGGCAGATATAAATTTAGTTTGCACTTGAAGCCTAGGAAAATCAAATTTGCATTGAGTGTATTTGCAAGTTTGTATTTTCTTAAGATACAAAATATACAATGAGTCAAAGGCAAATTATATTGTATTCTTATATAGCCACTAACTATAATATATCTGCTTAAACCTACAAAATTTGAATGTGAATATTGACTAGAATACAGAATGCTTTTGCTTTTACCAATAGCAACTATCTGTATTTTACTTAGAGCAAAATTGTTTCAGATTATTTGTCTCTGTGTTGTTATCTTGAAAAAAAAAATTTGAAAGAAGATAATAAAAGACAGAAAAAGAGAAAGGGCATGAACTTTCCTTGCTTTCAAAAAGTACAGAAGACAATAACACTTATGATTGTCATGTTGTTCTTGGCTGCAAATCAAAGACTGCATGTTTTTCCGAGAGTGGGGAGTATGTTGCATGATATAATTATAACAAGAAGGGTTTTTGCTTCCAAAAAATATCTAATACTGTATTTTGCAATTTTTCTGTTTTTGTATTATATAAAAATATTTTTGAAATATGTTTTTATTAGTTGATATTGCATCAGAAAACATGTTTAAGGAAAACCATACATTTGACACTTGCTTGACCTTTAATTTTCTGTGCTTAATATATATGTAATAAACATTTATATACAGTTGTATATATATATAAAAGTATCATATATATAGACATATATACAGATACATATCTATATATATATATATAAATATAAACAGTAAAACAATTTACAGTTTCACACACACACACATAAACACACACAATTGGTGGCTTGTCAGTGTAACTGAAAGAAACTACGGCCAGATAAGATTTTTAAATCAAAGAAAATATTTCTGTTTTACTAGTACCAGCAGATCTTAACCATGGTACATTAATGTCATAAGCAGGGGAAGTAACCAATATATTTTATCAACTGCTAGAGCTGCTATTGTAGAAGGTCTGTCAGCTCCTCCACTATAAATTGCAATTGTCAAAGCTTTATAACTCAACCATAGAAGTTCAGTCTGGGCTACAATTTGGCACACAAAACTTCATCTTGGGAGCATCTTTTAGAACTGTTTCTGAACATATATATATAAAATAGAAAGAGGGGTTTGAAAGTCTCAGCTTTAGTTAATGCCACAAATACATATTATTGTAAAGCTTCTTTGATTCTTTGAGTGTTTATTTAGTCTGTTGCTAATGATTCTGCTTGTTTACAAAAATACACATTTTCCAGTTTTTCATCAAAATGAGTTATATTTGATTATAGAGGTAATACATTGATTTGTGATTATTATGTTTTAATTTTATTTGTTGCAAAAGTAAAACTATGCAAGTCAAGTATCTCATCCAGTGAATTCTTCCCTATTTGATTGCTACAGTTAGTTCTTTGTCAGATTGCCTGATTGTCCCTTACTTCATAATGGAATTAGGCGGTAAAGCTTATTTGATGGACTATCCTGATAATTCAGCTTCTTCATTTGAGCAAGTTCACTCAACCTTTCTCCCCCTGCATACATTCACTTGAGCTCACAAGAATGAGCTTGGCATAACCAAAGTCACCAAATATTATTAACATCAGCTTCAGTTTCATAATACAGTACAATTCATTTCAGAAAGTCATGTCCTTGGAAGCATACCAGTAGAATGACTATCTTTTTTCTCAGAAAAAAAAAATTGTACTGAGCATTTTTCCTGTGCCTGGATCCACAAGGCCCTGTGGATCCTATGTGCAGGTGTGAAGTATGTCTGCTTTCACAGAACTTGTAGTACATGGAACTGTGTAAGAATGATGAGTGTCATAGTCAAGGAACTTCATTTCATCTGATATACCTTGGAGACACTTTTAGGGTTATCCCCCAGGAGAGAAAGGATACCACCTTGATGCAAAAGAACCTTTTCAAGCCCATTTTGTGGATTATTTCCTCCCAGTGGGAACAAAAACAGGACCATCTGACTGGTAGAAATGAGAAAGGCTATTTACATAAGGTACCCTGAGAGGTAACCAAAGGCTCCTTTGTCTGCAAAAATTCCATCAACCAGCTGGTTTTTTTTTTCCTTACATAACCTGAATTATCTACTGGCAGAATCATGCCTCTGGAGGGAAATATAAAGTCCATCCTAACTGTAGCTATTGGAAGAAAGAAACCACATTTTAGTAATGTTTATATGCATGCAGTTCTTTACCCTGCACCACCTGTCCTCCCAGTCTGTGGCCCAGAAAGTCTTCCCAGGCAGCAACAAGGATAGTGCTCCCTAAATGTATAGTTAGGGAATATCGCCAGCTGCAGGCTATAGTTCTATGCCTGATTAGAGAGAGCAGTTTTCGTTGGGAGGTAACAAGGACCAATGGGGGGGGGGAGAAGTCACCTTTAACTATGTGCATATTATTAAATAAAACTAAATTTAGCCACCTTTACAAAAGGCTGGTGAAAATGATGATTATATTCCTATAATGATGAGGAAGAATGAGGCGGAAGGGAAAAGAAAAGAGGGACACAGGAGAAGGGAAAGAGAAGAGCTAACACACAGCATTCATCCTGTGGCTGGCAGTTTGCTAAGTGTTTTACGTGTATTAGCTCTTTCAGTTATCCTCTCAAACACATGATGCAGACAAATAATATAACCATTTTACCAAAGTGCAGGGAGGAGGTTAAATGACTTCCTCAAGATCAATCAGCAGCTGGTAAGTGGCAGGGTGAGTGTTTGAACCCAGATGGGCCTGATTGCAGGGTCCATGTTCTTAACCTGTCTGCTAAACCACAGGAAAAAAAAGGCTAAGTGGAAAGCGAGGAAACCAGCCTGTGTGAATAATGATCAGACCAGCCTAACATGAACAGTTTGATCTCTTTGGTCTTCAGTTCCTGCTGCTACAAAATGATAGATTTAGGCAGGATAATGTGTATGGTCCCTTGAAATTCTAACATTCTGTGGCTCAGATTCTGTATAAAATTTAATTTTGTTACCTGTGCGTTAGAGACAGGTGCCAGACCCTTCTCCCTTGCCACAGATTATTGCAGAAAATTAGCTAATTTCTATCTGACCGGCTCAAAGAATCTGTTGTCTTGGAAAAAATTTCATAATAGTGCTTATATTTACAGTCACATTTTCAAACCTCATTGAACAAACAGGTCACATAATATATAGACGATAGTCCACTATATAGTCTGATTCAACATGTCCCATGACAGAGGTAGAGGTCTAATGAGCAAGAGACTTCAAGAAAGCATTGCATGTTTTTCATTTATAGATTCATTTGTCCATCCATTAAAAATGTAACCTAACTCCTAGTTGAAAAACTGTATTCTTTGTGTCACTGGGGAGGTTCTTTCTGGTCCCTTGCTCTAAAGCAGATTCCAAGGGAGCCTCTGTGGTGAGGAGAAATATTGGGGTGAAGCTGGAGGCAAGGGGGTAAAAAAAATCATGACAGAAAGAGTGGAGAATGGATTGTTTGAAATACACTCATAAGAGAAGCAGCTGGAGAGCTGGGAGAAGACTGCACATGAAGGAGGATTTGAAGCTCACTTTCATATTTTGTTTTTGCAAGCTTTCTAACTTGGGGCAGCAGTTTGCATCATTCTGCTGGATGCTATGGTCTTTGACAGAGAAACATGTCTTGACCTCTGTTTTCTGTATTCTTGGAGCTGTGCTGTATTCTTGGAGCTGTGCTGGTTTTTCTGCTCATGGTGGTTGGTCTTCTGTTTGTCCCCAAAGCAAACCGATCAAATCCTTTATCTACCCATACTTCCCAGACATGAATGATAGGCAAGAAGTGGGTCCTTACTTTTTAACCTGATAAAATTACACCTGGATGTTCTCCATTTTTCTAAAATTATAATTTCTAAAATTATTCTCATTTTTAATAATTTTCTTTTTTTAAATATTTATTTATGCATACAGAACAAGGGTATAGGCCAGAGGTCCAGGGGTGGTGAGAGGATTTTCCAGAGACAGAGTGGAGAGCAGAACAGACCGATTGACAAAGTACTGCTGAGAGGAGGAGCTGGCGGTCAGGAGAATTCTGCCACGCCATGTGGTCACCTCCAGGGCTAGGGATCAAACTTGCACTGAAGCAGCTGCTGCTCACTTGCAGTAATGCTTTTTAACACATTGCACCACCAGAGAGGGCCATTTTTATTATTTTTTTACATCACCCATCTCTCTTTACTGCTCTTCCACACTGATGCAAACATTTATAGCTCAAAGAACACACAGGGATTGGCAAAATATGCACGCTTCATATATTTTTTGAATTAGTGGAGAAAATAGTGAAAGTGCAAGTTACCAATCAAGGGTGGAGGAGTATTATAAGCAGACAGATAGCTAGCTAGCTAGCTAGATACAAATAAAAAAGTCATTGTTTATATTTGTAAATGAGAGGGACGGATTTGAATAATAAGTGCAAGGGTTTGACTACCTTAGATCTTTTCTAGACTGTATTCCAACCAACCTATAATATACATTGGCTATAAAAAATTAAAGCAATTAGCTGAATGATTAGATAAGTATCTGTCTTTCCTAATACTTCTAAACACCACCATATTGCTTTGCATATCTGGTTAATTTCAACTATATAAAATTTTACATAGAGTTAAATATTTCTTAACTCTTTAGAGAAATATACTTGTTTTTTTTTAAGATTTATTTATGTATGCAATAACTGGAGTACAAATCAGTGGTGCAGGGCTAAGAGGATTCATCAGAGACACAGTAGGGAGCAGAACAGGCAGATCAACTGAAACACACTGTTGAGAGGATCATTGGATGAGACAGAAGAGGTCTGCTGCACCATGTAGGTCACCTCCCTGGCCAGGGATGGAACTTGTGCTGCAGTGCCTGGGGATAGCTTCATTGTGCTGCACTTTAACCCTTTGTGCCACCAGGGAGGGCCCTAATATAACTATTAAAATATCTCATAGAGAATAGTAAGTCAAATTTCAGCTGTCTTTATAAATAAGCCTCAAGAATAATTTCTTTATGAATTAAATATGTAAAGTCCTATCTCCTGGCACTTGTAACTAATGGCAATATTTAAAAAGATTAACATTAGAGAAAGATTTTTAAGCATTTTTTCATAATGCGCTTCCCAAGGTGTTAACTGAAAATTTAATTAATAGTGTCTCTTATCAGGATCTGTTAGGTAAACTGATGATGACATCTAAAATAAGTTTTTTACAATATGATATTTAAATGCTGGATTCCAGCATGATATATTTTATTTCATAGGAAAATAACATTTCCTTTTATGCTTTTTAATCACCACCACAGTGATTTGGGATAAAAATAATCATGTACATTTAAGCATGTAAAGCCATGGATTTGTGTATGTATATATATATTTATATTTATATTTGTATATAATACATGCCCCTAAATGAATCTTTGCAAACTACAGTTACACACACAGTTACATAGCTTGGGGTTACAATGGCATATATAGAAACAGTCTTGGACTCCCAATTTTAAAATATTACATCTGGGGCCTCTCTGGTGGCCCAAGGGGTTCAGACTTAGCACTACAAAGTAATCTTCAGCTACTGCAGCAATGAGTTTGATCCCTGGCCAGGAAGCTGACCCACATGGTGCAGCAGACCTCTCCTGTCTCTCCCGCTGCTCCCCTCAACAGTGTATTTCAGTCGATCTGACTGTTCTGCGCCCCACTCTGTCTTCTCTTGTGAATGTTCTCACCAACCTCTCCCCCCATCACTTCTGGCCTGTATTCCAGTTCTTATATGCAAAATAAAAAAAAAATTACAGCTGCAAGGAGAAATGAAACATTGCACAAAAATAGGCAATGTAAAAAGTATATAAAGTATATAAATAAAAAAAACTTACAAAAATAGATACAATTATGTATTTACATAATAATAACTTTACTAAACTATCTTGATATTAATAAGGAAAATTAAGCTATTTTATATAAAATTTATCCCTTTAAAGAAGCTCATGCTAACATACATGTAGCACAACGTTTTATGAAGTTTTTTTTTTTTTAATTGGAGGCAAATCCAGTGAAAATTTATGATCACTGTGTTACCCAATTATTGATACATTAATTTGGGGGTATATGTCATATATTTGTGGAATGTTCATTAACAGTAAGATTTATATGTTTCTTTAAAATATATATTGGTTAAAAATCCTAAAAAGAAAAAAGAAAATTCTAATACTTCTCATTACTTGAGCTGTGCTTTTCCTGGGACAAATCTTAATTAAATTTTTAGATTAAACATTTCAAAGTTAATTTTTCAGCTATAGCAAAATCTTGCCACTTGAAGATTTCTGATTAGACTACATAAGTCTTTCAGTTGAAAGTTCAAGATTTCTTTTTCTAATGTGCTTTTATTTGTAATGCTTTTTGTTATTGTTGAATGTCTGCAGTATACTAAATATGCCAATGTTTCTACTTATTGTTTATATTGTTTGTCAGCAAAACAGATGAAATTTTGGGAAAAATATTATTTTTCATATTTGGAGATTCACTACATATTCACTAATAAAGCCAAATTGTTTTACTATATCATATGAAAAATGAATTATTACCACTGTGTCTTTCTTCATTAACCATGTAGGACCTCCAGGTCTCAAAGGTGATAGAGGAACATCTGGTTTTCGTGGATCTCCAGGATCTTCAGGACCAATAGGGAGGCCGGGGAGACAAGGTATTTTTTAATTAATATATACTTTGCATATGTAATATGTAAAATAAACACCAGGTCATAGATTTTTTTTTTTCAAATTCTTCCGTAGAAAAACAGTGATTATCATAGAATGAATAGTAGTACTCACATGTTATTTTGTGTTCAGTTGATTTCAAAACTGATTTCTGCCCATCTCAGGAAAGTTTCTTTGTCTCAAGCAAAACAGTTTAAAAAGACACACATAGGATTTATAAACTACATGAAACCATAACTCACCATGAAGAATGGTATCTAACTTAGAACAAAGAAAATGAGAAGACTGACAGAAAAACAAGCAACCAAAGTGGTTTGAACTTGAATTTCATGGTGCACACAGTTATTCTATGATTTTATTTTCTTTGCTCTCTTGGGGAATACAAAGACAGCACAGTACATATTTGATTCCTAGACTCAAAGTTCCTACTTGGCTTCTCTGTGCCCCATTTTCTTATCTGCAAAACAGGATCAGTAAGAGAACGCACATTTAGAATTTCTACAAAATTTAAGTTAGATAATTGTTGTCCTAAAATGCTTTATACAATTCCTATGACACAGCAAACAACATTTATTATCTGCAGCCTATACAAGAGCCGATGTTCTTTTTTTTTAATTTATTTATTTATGCAGAGGTGGTAAGAGGATTCACCAGAGACAGAGTGGGGAGCAGAATAGACAGATGGACGAAGTACACTGCTGAGGGGAGCAGCGGGCGGGTCAGGAGAGGTCTGCCGCGTCATGTGGATCACCTCCTGGTCAGGGATCGAACTCGCACTGAAGTGGCTGTGGCTAGCTTGCAGTGCTGAGTCCTTACCCGTTGAGCCACCAGGGAGGGCCTGAGCCAGTGTTCTAAAGTTCAATAAATTCCTACCATTCAGAATTATTAGAAGATTATCCATTGATTCATTTAAGCAGTCAACGCACTTTTATGAGGGATCACTGTGTGCTGAGACAGACTATAGTACAGCCACCGCCCTCAAGGCCAGGGGGCAAAACTGCAGAGGTGGTTAGCTCCAATGCAATATGGAAAGCAATAAACACTTGTGACTGGACAAAATGCTCTAGGAGTAGTCAGTGATTAATTCTATACAGCATGTCAATGTGTCTCAGAGGAAGTGGTGTTGAGGGCCGGTTTAAAAAACAAAGTGGCTTTAGGTCTGTGATTCTGAAATGTTAGCAGATGTAAGGATCACCTGTGCGGCCTATTAAAACAGCTTAAAGGGCTCCACCCCTAAGTTTTCATCAATTATGTCTGGGGTTGGTTTCTCTCAAGAATTCATTCCTCAGAAGTTCCCAGGTGATTTTGATGATAATCAAGGAATTACTAAACCATGTCTTCAGATAAATTAAAGGAGTGGAAAAGAAAACCTTTGCAAACATTAAAGCAGTTATAATAAATCCCTTGACAAGTTATACTTAGGCTATTCCTTCCTTATGTTTAGACTCAAATTTGATTGAAATATGAGTAGTAGTGTCTGGGACGAACTTAGTTATACTGCAGATTAAAACAGCAAATAATATAGTCTCCCTTCTATGAGAAGATTGTATAGTTGAATAATTTCGTAGTCTAACTAAACCAAATAGTCTGGATTAGTTTAATGATAACAAAGGAATGACAGATTTCTTTTTTTGTTTGTTTGTTTGTTTAATTTCACTTTTTTATTTTGGTAAAAAATATATAACATAAAATTTACCATCTCAGTCCAAAATTCTCTACATTTTTGTTCTATAATTTGTTTTTCTTTTATATATTTTTACATTAATCTTCATTTTGTTCAATGTATGCTTTCTCGTCTCAGTTATAGTCCCCATGAAATTCCCACCACCAATTCATCTCTGTACCATCACCATAGTCTGAACAATGACAAATTTCAAAGCAAAAAGTTAAAGAAAGAACACCCCTATGTATTTCTTCCTATTTTCTTTACTGCTCTCCTTTCATCCCTACCCCGCCTACTTTCTTTTATGGGTATTAGATATTTACTATGTTTACAAGATACAATGCTCAGTATAGGAAAATTAGAAGTGAATAAGACGTAGTCCTTAAATAAGACATGTAAATATGAGAACAGAAAGTATTTAAGCTTTCTCAATATATAGTGTATCAATACAGTAGAGCATTTCTAATTTTACTATTTACTTCAAAAAGGCATAGGGATTTATTTGAAGGTATTACATTACGTACCTTCAAAATCCCCGAAGGACTCTGGCTATAACCCTATTGAAAGAACTACATTTCTCAGTATGTAAATCATATGCTTCTCTGCAGTCAGATCCTCATGGTTCACTTAGCCTGATTCTAAGTATAACTTCATTCATTCATTCAACAAACACCCCCTGAACACTTTTGCTGTGTCATTCATGGATATATTAACAATTGAATTGTATAACTTAGAAGTTAAGAGGTGAGACCAGAGATAAAGTTGTAGCTATTATCAAATTAATCTAATGTTCACTGGAAATAATACTAATAGTATTTCATGTGTAAACAATAAAAAGAACATACAAAGAGAAGGCACCTACAATAATGTCTGGAATTGTTCTAGAAGTATAGACTTAGTAATAACAGAATGGGTCAACAGATACTAAATAAAATGGATGAAGTGAGGAAGAAAACACAGAGACAGAGGGAATCTTAAAAGTAATATCAAGTGGGCCCTGCCTGGTGGTGCAGCGGGTTAAAGCACAGCACAAAGAAGCTTAAGCCATTTCAGAAATGGCTTAAGCTTCTTTGTGCTGTGCTTTAACCTGCCCCGGAGGAGATCCACATGGCGAGGCAGACCTCTC